TGACATTGATAGCATTAGTAAAAAAATAAAATCCAAAAAAACTCTAGGAGAGATGATTACAATTTCTACTAATTGGCTCCTTGGTACTTTTGGAGCCATCTATGTGTAGAGACATTTCACAAAATATAACAGTGAATATATTTTCCTGGCAGCATTGGGTTAAGTTCGCAAAGCAAAGTCCATTGCAAGTTTAAATACTTGTCAGATTTAAATAAAGCAATTTTACTTGGTCAATTATAAAATGTACCTCTTGCATTTAAAAGGGGTTATATTTATCTTTATATTCATAACAAACACTATGTAACTCATAAAGAATATAAAAGACAGAAACAATTGGTTCAAAGAAAATGTACACATATCATTCACATTTTACTGCACAAAAAATAAAAACATCAATACATGGATATGTTTTCTTTAAGTCTCCACTGAACCTAAAGTAAGATATGTATAAGAAATAGACCCAATTAAATGAATTTCACATAAGCTTATACTGATATTTTTCATGGTCTACTTATCAAAAGCATTACATTAAAAAATTGCACTCACTCAAGCTTAGATATTGAAAAGTCACACAATTTTCTTTTTTAAGCAATCATCCCTACCTTGACCAGGACAAAGGTAGAGAGAAGATAAGGAAAAGGGGAGAAAGAAAAAAAAATAATAAAAGAGATAATGATGGGAAAAGGCAAAAAGAAGAAAGAGAGAACTGTTAGGTTCCAGAAAGGAGGCTTTTCTGAGGCACAAAATGTATCTCCATGTTATGGAACACCTTGGTGGGTATCACTGATAATGTTCCCTCTGTTATCTTTGATGCGGACACGTCCTGTTTTGTACCTAGTTTCAGTGCGACCATCAGGGTGAAGGATCTTAACTGTACCATCTGGGTACTCTCTTCGCTTCTCTTTGTTTGTGTGAATCTCTCTTTGTCCATTGGCAAAATCAAACACTTTAGTTCCATCAGGGCTAGTTCGAACAACCGTGCCGTCTTTCATTGTACATGTTTCTGTCCCTTCTTTTGATATGGTCTTCCTAGAATTATCTGCAAATACAATTTCTGAGGAACCATCAGGAAAACGTGTCTCCTTCTGGCCATTGGGGAACTCTAAAATCTCCTTTCCATCATTATATGTTGTATGACTAGTATGATCAGTTCCATAAATGTATATAGTTCTGTCATTGTGTACTTCCTTCCTATCCCCATTATAGTAGCTTACTACAATGGAACCATTTGGATGAATAAACTTTTTGTTTCCATTAGCATATGTAACCTCTGTGATGCCATCACTTCTTTGGACTTCAGTATATTCACTGATTTTATCATCTGCTGAAAACAGATTCCCAGAAACAGGAGTTAACTTGGTTTCTTTGGGCACGTTTAGTACTGACAAGTCTTCTTGTAAAACAATGGACTCTTTGATCAGATCTGTCTCTTGGGTGTGTTCAGCTCTACCATCTCTCATAGGTTTATCTGAAATTTGTGCTTGATATCTAACATTATTCTTAACTAAATCTTGATTTTCATTACTTTCACTTCGGGGATTGTACTGTATTTCATCATCCCTGGTTGTTGGGTCTATATGACAAGTAACTGACTTAAGTGGAGCTTCAGCCAGATTTTTGGAGAGAGATCTGTTGATGCTGTCTATAGTGACTGTTTTCTTTTTCATTTTTGATGTGTTTGTCTGGTTTTTGTTTTGCACATCCCTAAGAGCTGGTTTCTTAGAAAGTTTTGTTCTGTCTAGTCTGTGTTTGAGATCTAAATTCTCCTTCTCCAACATTTGTAATAAAGAATTTTTCTCTCTCAGTTGCTTGTTTTCCTGCTCAAGTGCTTTTATTCTATCATTAAATTTCTTTATAGCAAACTGGTGTAGGGAATCTTTCTTTTGCAGTTCCTCTTCTAAATCGTGCATTTTTTCCTTAAGATAAACAATTTCTAAAGACTTCTCCTGAACCATAGATATGGATGGAGCTGCACGCTGAAGTTCTTGCTTCTCTTTCCAAAGACTGTTCCTCTCTCTGTCTACATATTTTTGGAAATTAATTTTCTCTTTCTCCAAGTTAGTTACTAACTTCTCTTTTTCTTCTCCCAGAAGCCTTTTTTCATTCTGTAATGACTGCTGGACATTCTTGAGCTTTAAAGTCTCTTTCTTAAATGCTTCAGTTTCTTTTTCTAATTCACAAATTTTTGCCAAAAGAAGTGCCTTGTGGGATTCAATTTCATCATTCAGGCATTTCTCGTCCTTTTTCACAGACTGACCTTGCTGAGATTCTACTTGCTGTGCAGGATTCTCTTTAATGTTTTGTATACTTTGAACATTCTGCAGATTTCTGTGCTTGGAATGAGGAAGTTCCCTGTCAATCCTACTCTGACATGGGATTTTATCTTTATTCACATCTTTCCCTGCATCCCTGTCTCTGCCAAAAATTGACCAGATATAATTGGAGGCAGAATGGTGGGGTTTATGAGGTGGTGGTGAGAATTGCAGCATAAGGGGTTGAACTTTGTTTTGAGGTGTTGAGACAGTTGCAGATCTTTCATCAATCAGTGTGCTGGTGCTGCTGTCATCTTCATCTGCTGAATGTCTTTCTTTTGCATCCGAGGGGGACTTATTTTGATTAGATTTGTGTGTAAGAAGTGCTAATGCCTCTAAATCTGATGTGGTGACTAGATCTGTGTCATCCTCAGCAATGGATGGGGCATCTATCAGGGAATCCTCTGCTTCTGTGTCTGTGGGCTCATATTCCAGCACTTCCACTCCCTCACTTCTGAAATGCACACGTGGCCCTGAACTAGGAGTTATACCTGCAGGCTGTGCTGGGGTACTTGTCCTGTTGTTAATTGGCTGTTGCACCTCGTATAAAAAACAAGTAGCTGGGTCAAGGGGTGAGGAATTGTTAGGTCTAATAAAACTCTCAATAAGGGTCTGGACATCATCTTGAGAGACACTTAAATTGGTAGTCTCCTCTAATCTTACAATTGCTCTCAACTGCTCAAGAACAGTGCTCACACTTAACAGTTGCTGAGGAAGTTGATTCTGTGTGTGCTCTTGCTGGTGTTTGACCCTAAGCACTGGTTTTAACTGATCCTGGGCTGAATTTTGCTGATTCCTGCTTTGATTCTCCTCCGCAATAACACCTGCCTGAAACAGTCTCTGCAAAAGGTTACTTGCTACACTGCTTCCCTGCTGCTGATTGCTAACCTTTGTTATAGGAGTTTCTTGTGGAGTAAATGGGGGAGGTGAACGTAGTGGGGTGGATGAGGCTGACCGCTGCCCTCTCTGTAGCAACTGCCAAACTGTGGAAGAATTAGATGAAAAACTGGAGTCTGCGGCTAGTTCCTCAAGCTTTTCAAAGGCTGACAACTCTTCTTGCTCTTTTCGTCTTTGTTTGTCATCCTCCAACTGTTTTAGTACAGATGGCACAAAAGTATTCTTACAACCTTTAATGTTGTCTGGCTCATGGCTTTTGCTTTCAACCATTTGGCTTTCATTTTTTCCCTCCTCTAATCCAGGACTCCAATCACTAACTGGCACTTTAGTCATTCCTGCAGTTTTGGGAATATCCTTTAACTGAAGTCTGCTAATAGGCATATTTGATATTTTACTTGGATATGTATGTGTAAGCTTATTGTGAGAAACAGGTCCTTTATTACCAGCCCTGACATTTGCTGAGGGACGTGGATTTGTTAAAGCATCTTCTTGAGGATTCTTAGGGATGGTTTTCTTGGTGCTACTATCTCCAGGGACTTGAATCACTTTTTGCTTCTTTAGTCTTAGCGGAGCCATCCTAAACCTTGCTGTTCCTTCCCCCTTCCGGAGATATCTTTGTTTGGGCTTCCCCTGTACAGGATCCACGGGCAATTCTTCAATTTCGTATCTTAATACTGATGCAGGCTGGTTGGCTGTCTTGGTATCACTAGTACCCTTTCCCTCATAATGTGAAAGCCCACTCCTTTTCTTTAAAAATGGTTTCTTTGGCTTTATTTTGCACTCACTATTCCCTTGAAAACCCTCTCTGGCCATATTCTCCTCCAAAATATCTTCAAAAGTTTTCCCCCGACTGGTAATGGGCTGGCTTTCCACAGACCTTGCAGTATGGAGTACAGGTCTGACTAAAGGTGCTTTGCTTTGCATTTCACAGGTTTTCTCTTTACCATACTTAAATCTATCCACTATATAATCCGTGTTTCCAAAATCAGTAATGTTCTTCGGGTCATGATCTTGGAATGTTGACTTCTGGCGTAGATCAGAAACACCATCATGTATTTGTGCTGCAGACCAAGTAGCCTGATTACCATGTACTTGTTCTCTGAATGAGTTTATCCTCTGGGTGGGAGTATTCTGATCCACTTTCTGGTAACTCTCATGCTGATGTGAAAATCTGCTTCCTGAGGATTTTGAAAACTGGGAATCTAGAGTATCTTTTAGACTTCCTGAACCAAAGCTCTGATTGCCAGTTAACTTTGAGTGGTTGAAGGAATCTGCAGACACATCAAAGGAGCTACTGGAATGAGTTTGCAGGAGGGCCTCCCTCTGCTCCTCCTGCCACTTCCGAAGTTGCTGCAGTCTTTCCAGTAGTGCCAACGAAGGTGACTGTACAGTCTGATTTGGACTTGCATGATCCACGCTGTCCTCCATTGTAAACAAATATAGAGCACTACACCAAGGAAAGGCTTACAATTAGAAAAAGATAAAAAGTAGAAAGAAAGCAAAAAACAAAACATATGGAATGTAGAAAAAAAAAAAATTGAACACTTCTATTTCACAACACAATAGCAAAAGTTCTTCATAAAAATTACCATCAATATTGCAGTTTTTCTTTCAAAAGATTTTCTGCACTTTCTAAAGTAACTGCTTTTATGGGGCACATCCAACTTACAATAATAGAGTTAAAAAGACACAGTTCTACAGCTGTTCAGCAAAAATAAAAAGTATCTCTTAGAAGCACAATGTTTTCTCTAACTATAAATTGGAAGAAAGTCCACAAACTATTATGGCACTGCTGAGGCTAATATAAGCTTGTCTTCTTCATTATACGGAAAAACTCGTCTTGGTTGATCTGATTGTCACCGTCGCGATCTGCCTCTTCAATCATTTCTTGCAACTCTTCATCGGTGAGATTCTCTCCTAAGGTCTCTGCAACACGCTTCAGATTGTCGAAGGAGATCTTTCCGGTGTTGTCATCGTCAAAGAGCTTGAATGCCTTGAGGATCTCTTCCTTGACATCCTTCTCAGCCATCTTGATTGTCATGAGGTGCAGGAACTCTTCGAACTTTATCTTGCCGCTCTCGTCCTTGTCGATCTCTGCGACCATCTTTTTGATTTCTTCCTTTTTGGGTTCGAAGCCCAGGGCCCTCATGGCGACCTTGAGCTCCTTGGGGTCAATAGTGCCAGTGCCATTGGGGTCAAACAGATTGAATGCCTCCTGGATATCGTTTTTCTGTTCTTCTGTGAGCTCGAACTTGGTGCTGCCCGAGCGCCTCTTCCCTCCTGTGCTGGTGATGGATGGGCGCTTGTACTGATTGGACATGCCTGACACAACCTGCAAATTTAGGATCAATTCTGTAATCACAGTAATGCAATTAATGCTTTTCTTAGAGATCTTAGAGATCCTTCTAACTTACTACTACCGTTTTATTTTAAAACTAAAACAAATATCTAAAAAAATCAATAATATATATTCACTGTAACTGAATAAACATTTAAAAAGGGAGAGAAAACTAAGAGGAAAATCACAGAACAGGGAAAGAAAGAAAGAAAGAAAAAAATCAATGAGAAAGGTAAAGTAAAAAATTACATAGAGAATAATAAAAATGAGAAAATTAAAGAAAAGAGGAAAAGATAAAGACAAAAAAGAAAGGAATGAAAGTATGAAAAAGAAAGGAATGAAAGTATGAAAAAGAAAAGAGTAAGGAAAAAAGAGGAAAATATAAAGACAAAAAGAAAGGAATGTAAATAGTATGAAAAAGAAAAGAGAGGAACAAAGGGAAGATAAAGAAAGAAGGAAAGAAAGTATAAAAAAGAAAAGAAAAGAAAAGCAAATAACGAGAAAAGAGAAAAGAAAAATGAAAGAAAAGAAAACAAAAAAAGAGGAAAGAGAGAGAGAGAGAGAGAGAGAGAGAGAGAGAGAGAGAGAGAGAGAGAGAGAGAGAGAGAGAGAGAGAGAGAGAGAGACAGAGAGAGACAGAGAGAGACAGAGAGAGACAGAGAGAAGAGAGAGACAGAGAGAGACAGAGAGAGACAGAGAGAGACAGAGAGAGACAGAGAGAGACAGAGAGAGACAGAGACAGAGACAGAGACAGAGAGTGAGCGAGCGAGCGAGCGAGAGAGAGAGAGAGAGAGAGAGAGAGAGAGAGACAGACAGAGACAGAGAGAGAAAGAGAGAGACAGACAGGGAGAGTGTAAGATTCCTCTAGCCATGCTGTATTAAATGTAGCCTGTGCTCCACTTTTTCTTTTCTTTAGCAACACTTTCTACACTTTTAAATAAGAAGTTAGAAGAGCACAACAGTAAGCATAGTCATTCAAAAATATTTCTATAGGAGTTTCAATAGAAATAACATATTTTCTTAACCCATTCATGCCGGGTGTCACGTATATGTGACGGGCCCACTGTGAGTTTACTTGTTTAATTGTTTTTACACATAGATGGCTGCACTTGTACTTGTACTGTCTGCCTCGCCTGTTTACCCTTTTCTTTAATTTATGAAAATATTATACGTTATCTTATTTTGCTGTTACTAACATTATAGTAATTATAATGTTTATAATAAAAATAACCATCGATATTCATTGTACTAGTAAAGATACATTTTCCCGCCAAATGAAATCAGGTAAGGCAGAGCCATCTAGTGTAGAGAAATTTCACAAAAAGTATAAAATATGAGCACAGCATTTTCCCCCATTTTTTGTTCATTTTTACCCGGCGCAAATGGGTTAAGGATCAGAGGTAACATTCTGTATGGAATTGCATAATACTTTATCTAAAAAAAAGTGGAAATGCTCATAAGTGAATATTGATAAAATACATGAGCAAATCACAATAACAGAAAAACAGTAAACCAAGAAACTTACATCAAACAAGAAGAAGAAGAAGAAGGAGAAGAAGGAGAAGAAGAAGAAGAAGAAGAAGAAGAAGAAGAAGAAAAAAAAAAAAACCTGCACAACTTAGAAAATAAAATCATTATATATCATAGTATTAATCTGATTAACACTGGAAGTATATGAAAACCTTATGGGGTATATATAGTCCTATAAACTGAAAATGAACCTTCCCATTTTTTTCAAACATATTCTCTCTGCAAGATCAAATACTTATATTACATTTACCTAGAACAAGATCTAACCCAATGCCGACGGGCATGATGTGTACGTACATGCTATGCCCACTATGAGTACTTGTTTGATTGTTTTCACACCTAGATGACTACACTTGTACTAAGTCATCAATGAGCCAATTAAGAGTACTGCCTGTCTCGCCCGTTTACCCTTTTCTTTGATTAACAAAAATATTTTAAGTTATCTTATTCTGCTGTTACTAATGTTTATAATATTGTAGTAATTGTAATGTCTATAATAAAAATTACACCATCGATATTCATAGCACTAGTAAAAAAATACGTTTTTCCCGCCAATTCAAATCACGTACGGTCACAAGGTCTCCTAATTGACTCATTTGCGGCTAAGCACTAGCAGAGCCATCTATGTTCAAAGACATTTCACAAAAATATAGAAAATGAGCACAGTATTTTCCCCATTTTTTGTTCATTTTCCCCAGCGGCAATGGGTTAAAACTATAACAGTACTTGAACTAATGATGATACTTTGTCTTCCTCATCTACACATATTTCATCACCTTCATAAAATAACTGCCTAAGTCATTTTTTGGCGATTTCTTGATTTTTGCCTAAGTCAGTTCTTCTTGATGTGGTGCACCTATTGATATTCTTGCTTAAATAATTTGTTGTACATCTATCAAGAAGTTTTAAAATGATAAACACTGCACTGATATCAAAATTAAGAAAATGAGAAAGTTTTTTTCGATTTCCCAAAATGTTGAAGAAATGACTTAGGCAATTATTTTATGAAGGTGACGATTTACAACAATAACCACTTGGGTTGGATTTTAGATCTAGTAAATATATCAACTTTCTATTCCATTAATATGTACCGTGTATATATCTAAAGGGTTCATCATGATTTCTATTTAATTTGCTTTCTATACAAACTTTGAAAAATGGAAATACAATTTAAAAAATAATTAAGGTATTAATAATATCTATTATTTCTAATGACTTACTTCAGTCATGATTACATATGGCAGCTCTATGGTGATCATTAACAACCCTATAACTGAAGCAGACCATTCATTTATCAACCTACTTTTAAAATTTTACCACTCTAAATATCTCATTCCCTGTATCAGCAATATGAATAATATGGGTATTGGTGGTTTGCTAGCATTATAGGCTAAAGGCAAGAGACCTGAAAAAAAAAAGGACCAAAAATCAAGGAAAATTTAAGGCTTGTAATTTTAGCATTGGTGAGCTTAATGTAGACTCTGACAAATGGAAGAGAAAAGGGTTAATCTTTATGGTATAGCCACACTCAGGTAAAGCAATTTGAAGATGATATTCTTGGAGAAGGACAGAAAGTTATCATTGTTCAAACAAGAAATAATTTGCAGACATTAAATATAATACCACAAATAAAGGAAAAAAGTTGCAGAAAGCGCTGCTCGCAGCCACTTGGTGCTCCTGAGTTTCAGCATGTGCTGAAGACAATGTTTCATGGTGAGGTGTTGGGGGCATAGCTCCCCTTCAACCTTCTCCTCAGGCAGTCACCCAGTCACAGCAATTTAGACTGTTGAATACAGTTTGTGATGTAAAGTTGGGACTTAACCCCTTGATGACGGGTGAAGAAGACTAAGAAAAAAAACCCTCTAAACTCTGGAGATTAATGGCAACACACCGACTTTGAGCGCGGGAGTTCAGTACATCAAACCAAATCACCAGTTTGTAGTGCTTTGGCGTGCCGCCGCGGCGTACAGCCACAGATCGAGCAGTTTGTTTTGACACCTCATGGCGTGACCCGTCGGGAAGGGGTTAAGAACGAATGACTTCATAATGTAAAAATGTTGTCCTCTTTCTCAAGTTTTAAATGATTAGACTACAGCAACAATTAATTTAAATCTCATTTTAATTCCAAATGACCTATGCTCTATATACTGAAAATACATTTAATCAATACCACTTTATATGTAACATTTTGAAAGATAGAACAGATGAGGCTTGCAACCTTAATGTAACAATCCTGACAGGTACTGATGGAAAGAAATTTTTTTTAGAATTTCTGGATGAAATCTATCCATATTCCCTTCTTATTCCATTAGAAGAAAAGAGTAAAACTAGTCAAGTGAAAAAATTGTACATTGACATGTAATAACAGCAGCCACTCTAGTGGTTTATTCATTATGAAAATGAATCCCAACTTCCAAGAAATAAAAACAGTCTAATTCTCTTTTCTTGAAATTAATATTTTACTGACTGCTTGTCTTTTGTGAAATCCACAACATGCCTTAGCCTTGGCCTTTCCATAAAACAACCAGAAAATATTAGTAATTGCAGTTTTTAACCCCTTGGTGCCGGGTGACGCTGATCGGCGTGTAAACAAAGCGCTAGAAAGCTGGCGTGCAGCCAAACGAGCCGGCGGCGCACCAAAGCGCGGCAAGCCAGTGATTCGGGCTGATGTCCCCTACTCACGCGCTCGAAGTCGGCGGGCCGCCTTTGTTTGCTTTAGCGTAGAGTTTTTTTTTTGTTTTGTACACCCGGCGCCATTGGGTTAAATCCTCCTATTACTATACCTATTATTTTTTTTACTATAGATTAATTTTTCAAATCTACTTCATGACTTTCCCTACAACTCTTTGAAAATGTAACCGAGTATAAAGATGCAATTTATCAATTACCATATTTGAATAATTTATGTCAGTAGAAATACTGA